CTAACCGATTGGTATGAATAGGAACAACAAACAAATAACTAGTAACAAATTTCAAGATTTGTGATGCATTTTATGTGCATATATGAAGAACTTTAAACCTTCTGCTTTAGTAAACGCAGTTGCAGCAATAATGAAAACGAATGGATTTTCTTGAAAAATAAACAGGACATATGTAGATTCATGTTATTTATTCACGAGGTTTGACGTGAGGTTTCCCCTGATACCAGCTACCTCAACACGAAATAGAAAATAAATCCTCATGTAAAAACACAAACACAAATTGTTGAAATTTAGCAAAAGTGGTGTACATAAAGGAAGATGGCATTAAGATTTCCAGCAACAAAAAGGAGGGTCATTTCTATTTCCCCAAACGCACTCCTCCTCCTCCCCCTCTGTTCGCCTGTAATTACGGCTTTTTGAGCGGAGCGAGGTTAGTGTAATTACTTCATTCACAGCACAGGATATTAGCATAGCTAAGAGAGCAATTTATTCAGCTTGGCAGGAGACACGTCTGTGTGTTATTGTGGAGATGAGTTATCCAGCCGCTGACAAACGCTGAGATCCCAGACGAAACCTTACAAACAGTCATAATTGCGCTCTCTTTCCATCCATCCATCCATCCATCCATCCATGCATTTGAGTTGCTGTGATTGGATCTACCAAATCTGCCTACCTGGACGTGCTCAAGCCCACTGCTGACCATTCGGGTGTTGTCTTAATTGTGTGAACATTTTTACACAAATAATGCTCGAGGCTGCCTCTAATGAAGTGTTTTCTACAGTGAGTAAAGCAGTGAGACAACGGTCAGTGAAAAAAGATGCGCAGAATGCAAATGCAGGAAGAAAATAAAACCTAACTTAAATATCTATAATCAGAATATTTCTCTCATCAAGCTATATAATTTGTGAGATCAGGCAAAAACTTGTGTGTATTTAGCATCAGCCAACATCCAATGTAAATAAATTGGTGAAAGATGTGAAAGGTTTTAAAAACTCTCAGTTGAAGAAACATTGCTCCTTTACAGATAAAAAAAAAAAGATAACAGCTTAAAAATTAAAAGCCTACTTGAGGAAACGTTTTGGAAAAGACTGGCTATGGACCCAACCAACTCTATTTGGGAGGGGAGGGGAGAACCCCCTCACATGATACAACCAGGTACAACCCATGCAGAGGTTGCGCGCTGTGGTGTTAGAATGCGGAACGTGTGTAGCCTAATTTAAGAGAAGATAGACCCAAGTGACAAATGTATATATATATTTTTTTATATTAAATATTATAAGATATATATATATCTTTTTTTTTTTTTTTTTCCTCGAACGGCCCAAAAGTAAAGCGGCCCACAGTGAATTCTCCCGATTATCCGATTACCTACCGCGGGCCTGCCGTCAACTGTTTGATTACCAACATTATTTAAAATATCTTCTTTCGTGTTCAACAGAAGAAAGAAACTCATACAGGTTTGGAACAACTTGAGGATAGTAATGACAACATTTTTGGGTGAACTAACCCTTTAATGCAGAGGTCCCGCTTTTGCCCGCTTTTCGCCGTTGCGTTTGCCGCATTTTTTTTAAATTATTATTATTTTTATCCCTTATGGGCTACCATATATAGTCTCGTGACAGCTTACCGTAGGTTTGTTGTCAATAGTTGTCATAGACAACCACGAAGTACAAATATACTGCGCCTGGAAAAAATGAGCGCGTCGCTTCAATTATGAGCGCGCTCGGCGCTTGATGCGCCTACATTTGAAACGTAGGCTACTTGAGCGTGCAAAATATGTGAGCGCGATTTGTGAACAGGCGAGCTACCACCACCAAATCAGGCCACAGCTACTGATAGCTCGCGAGCGACGTGTTGGATACCCCTGCTCTAAAACAATGTGAGAATAATCATTTTGAGCTTGTAATACGTGTTGTGTCTGAACGCGTTCAATGAACGATAGTTAATGAACTCGTTTATATTTTGGCCAAACGTGAACTGAACGTAGCCTACTGTATTACTGCCTGATGAACGTTACAGTGAACTCGTTCATTCAAGTGGTTGTGAACCGAGGAGGGAGGAGGCGTCATAAGATCATTTAAAAGGCTTTTATGAGGTCGGTGAGGATGGGAAAATCTTACATGTCTGTGCAAACTTTGCCCGTCGATAAAATGATTGTTATCTGTGGTTGTATATGGGCTGTGGCAATAATAATAGCCTAATAATAAAAAAAAGAAGCTCGCAGCAACATATGGAAAAAGATAACTAGTTCATTTTTGAAATATGAACTGAACTAGTACATTTTAAAATTTGTGAATTGAACTTTGAACTAGTTAATGTAATGGTTGATAAGAAGGTTTGCTTTGATATGTGCAAAGTCAGTCATTTGCCTGAGACACTATACATGTGTAGAAAGAATTATTTGTATTTCAAAAGCAGTAATTGTTTTTTTTAAGTATAATAAAAGGAAATGTGCCTTTTGAAAAAAAAAAATCAATATAATAGTGTTGTATAAAGAAAATAAAAAGCAAATATGACTATCATCACAACAAAGATGTTGTGTATAAGAAAAAGACAAAGAAAGTTTGTAAAACTGTCAACTGTCAGAAGAAACGTTAATAATAAAGATTGAGAAGATTGGATCAGTTGTGCTCCATTTTTGGAATACTTACATACATTTTTTTTTATTTTTTGGAATACTTGATGCGGCCCGGCCTGACCCAGACTCTATCTCCAGCGGCCCTCAGTTAATTTGTGTTTGAGACCCCTGCTTTAATGAATCATTTATGTGACTTGGGTTTAATAAATAGGTGTAAAAACAATACATATTACAGCATTGTTAACTAGTTGATAGTAAATGTTGTTCCATTAAACCAGTAAAGACGTGGCTCACCAAAGACACTGAATCTGAACTCGCAATCCAGCATAACCCTCATCTGTGGATTTTATGGAGCACTTTAGTGTGAAGAGAGTGCTGTGATGTCAACACGCTCTGCTGCAGGCTTGCTTAGGAAACACACACAAACAGGGCTGACTGTGTAATTACCGTTCTAACGGCTGACCACAGGGAGCTAGGGGCAGGCTTACATTATGCAAATGATCTGATCTGAGGCCACTTGTCTTACTTGCATGCAAATTTCAATCAAAAGCAACATGGGCCTCGTGAGTACACAGACTGAAGCAAAGGAACATACCGGCACGAATGGGCAAATTTCAGTGAGGAGCGCAGCTTCAGATCACATGATAATGGTACACTGAAATTAATTGATGGAAATCAGTTTTAAATAATGATCTGCATTTTCTGAATTAAGCGCTCAGGCTGACTGTGTACTTCTGGTGAAATGCACACGAATCAAGATGTACAGTTCCTCTTTTTCTAGAGAGAGAGAGAGAAAGAGAGAGAGGGAGGAAAACAGATGCATGAGCAAATCTAGCAGATCTCATTTGAGTAAGACGAACTTTGACAATCGCTTTCAATGTCCAAAAATGTGTCAACAAGTGCCTGTTCCAGAAAACAGGAATTCTGTAACCCAAGAAGGGTCAAGCTGCATGAAGGTGTCTGTCCGGTTAACTTGCATCAGCAAATATGTATTCTGAACCTTTCTGTGAACACTAAATCTGACTCAAAGTTTTATTTGGAGGGTAAAAACTGACTAAAGCATCAAGCCAAAGATCACGATCCCATCAGAAGAGCGATCTCTACTCAGACGTTGACCATTTATCATCATCATGTGAGTTATAGATGGACACCGCTGAAAGTGAGGGATTCACAAAAGTACACTTTCATCCTGACTTACTGTACAGACTATGGGCCCTATTTTAACAATATAAGCACATGGTCTAAAGCGCATGGTGCAATTCCACTAAATGCATACCGAATCCACTTTTGCTAATTTAAGGACAGGAAAAATCTTGTCTTCCATTCTCTTTAAAAGCCAGTAGCGCTCGTGCCATGGCGGATTCGCTATTTACATGGCAGAATTTGCAAGCAGAAAAACTGACCACTTATCTGCTCGTGCACAAGGTTAAAACGCGCAAGCAGACCATCTACGGGACAAAGTGTGCGTGCATTGGGGACCAGCCTATAGGCGCACATTTCTAACGCACTCTTTAAATAACAAAAAAAATATTGCACCATTGACTTTAAACCAGGTTTCAGTTGGTCAATGTCACAGTCTATTTCAGTTGCCAACGCCTGAACACACGTCATCTTCAGACTAGCATCCCATGGTCGCACAGATGGTCGCAAATGCATTTACCATTTAAACAACGTAGCAGCACAGGACGTGGAAATGAACTGCATCGGGCTGAAACTAGCACTTGCGTTGTGCCTGGCGCCCCAATATCATCTTTTGGTGAGCATGTCACTACATAAATATGTGTGTATGTTTTTAAATCAACATTCATTATTGATTTTGGGCCATCAAACATTATATTGGTATCTGAAAAAAGGTGTTTATTTCATTAACATAATTCTAGCTACTTAATGCAACACCTCCATGCATAAAACACTGATCAACATCCACTGAAGCATGGAGCTGGCAATCCCAATGACATTAATAGAAGCTGAAAGCATGAAATATTAAAAACATCTCTCTTAGCAGTGCTCTTTTGTTAATTAAGAGTTTCTCTGACCATTTTCTCAGGCATTTGAAATGCACTAATCAGTGCAGCTCTGATTAGTTAGAGTAATGTGGCATCAGAAATGTGACGAGAACATTCAGAGCCACTAACTGGACTGATGCTGGATTTTGTCTTTCTGTGATAGAGCCACAAGGGCTGGGCTCTGCAGAAACTTTAATGATGTCATTAAAACCATGCTGGAGGGCCAACATAACTTCCTGTTCCTTTCCAACATCACTCTGCTATTCATAATCCTCTTTCTAATCTTATTTTTTTTTTTTTTTTTGTAATAACAACACTACCATTGCACAGCAGTAATACCGTGCACACACATTAAAAACAATTTAAAAAAAACAATTATATATTTTACTATATCTTAAAACACAGCTTTCTCTTACCTTGTGGTCATAAGGGTTGTATGAGTGGAAGAGAGCGGAGAGATCTTTGGTTCTTTGTTTTTTCTGTGAAAGTGAAAAAAAAAAAACACACCAATATTAATTGAAGAAAAAAAAAACTTAGTCAAAATATTATCTGAATGCCAACTAAAATGACATGAAAACATCAGACACACTTAAAGAGAAGAAAATGAGGATATCTGCCTTCAAGACCTCTGTTTCTGTAGTGCCTATACAAGCCTATACGTCCTTAATTTGTAATGAAATGCAAACACTGAGCTCCGAGGAGATGAATGATGGCTTTTAATGCAGTCAAAACTTAAAGAAAGGGTAATTATGAGAAATTATTCAGCGTCTAGTTGAAGAGAAGTCATGTTTTATAGCCAGTGGGGACGTGAAGAGAATTTATCTACCATAAAGACATCACATATATGATTCATGAGTGATTTCACATCACAAAATTGAAGAAAATTGTTTAATTTCAATTTTGCAATGACATGAGGAATACCATTTAAAAATGATGTCACCATTTAAGACTACATTTGTTTACTGATTAATTTATTGATTATTTGTTCATTGCCTATGCTTTGGCAATACTGTCTAAGTCATGCAAATAAAGCTCATTTGAATTTGAGAGAGAGAGAGAGAGAGAGAGATTTTGATTTTAAACCCCTTTTTATTACATATTACACAACAATTATCACTACAATCTGCCAAACAACATCATTAAATCAAGTCCAAAACAATCTTAAAAATTCTTAAAAAATAGAAAATAGTAACTCTTCTTCAACAATTTCACAAAGGACCTTATTTAAACACCATCTTACCTCAAAGGATAAAAAATCGTGCATTAATCTATAATAATGATAATCAATCAAAATCCTAGATTTGACTAATTTTACAAAAATTGCTACCAAACTGCTAGAAACATTTTGCTCAATTTTTTCTTTTCTTGTGGTATAAATTGCCATTTTTGCCTGGCCTACCAAGAAATTCAACAATTGACACTTATGACAAAATTTCTTCACATATTTAAATCCACAAATGAACACTTTCATTGAAAAAACCTCATCAAAAGAATCAAAAAATTTCCTCAAAATATCAAATAGAGGTTTTAGCCTCTCACAGTACATAAAAGCATGAAAAATAGTCTCTTTTTCCTAACAAAAAGGGCAGCCTTCAGTCACTTCAGAATTGATCAGGGAGACAAAAGCATTTACTGCAATAGCACCATGTAACACTCTCCACTGTAAATCCCCAGTTTTTTTGACTAATGGTGACTTATACAAGGCTCTCCATTGTGGCTTTTCATCGACAGCAAGATTAAGTATATTTCGCCATGGTGTATCACACTTGTTGTCTAAAAATTTCTTATTAAAAGCTTTTACACAAACCTTGTACAATTCTTTCCCAAGTACAACATTTGAACCCACAATCATTATTTCTTTACAATGTAAAAACATGCTGTTGTGATCACCCATAATAGAAATACCCAACTTTGGAAAAGGGTCTTTACAATCAGGGTTAATCAACCCCTGTGAGTACTGATCCAACAGTTCTGTCTCTTCCTCGGTAAGGGCCGATCTTCACTTTTCAAGTGCTTTTTCTACTATACGGCAGTAGATGACCAATTTCTGTCAACTTGGCGTTACACAAAGTCCTTTCTGGTATGGCAAAAGAAAACTCACGTGATAAGTCCAAACGTGAGCCACCGACCAATGGTTCTCGAAGTAGCCAAAACAGAGAAGCAACATTGCTTTCCCTGCTTTTCTTAAACAGAGACCAGACTTTTAATAAATTACGATAAAAAACTGGAGAATTAGATAGTTTCAGTCTTTGAGAGTCCAACCAGAATAAAGTTTTGTCCATTCCTAGCCCTTCGATGTTCCGGAGAATCACACAGGCAGCCGCCATCCAACTGGACTCTGAGGAGCACTTTAAAAGTCTCTGTACATATTGCAGACGAAAAGCAGCCGTTCTACTCTGCAAATGTATCAAACCAAGTCCTCCTTCGTCTTTTGAAAGATACAACACACTTTTTGATACCCAGTGCATTCTGTCCCAGAAGAAATCAATTAACATTGACTGGATTTTCATCAGTACATCTACTGGGGGATCTATACAGGCTAGGCGGTGTAAAAGTGCAGAGGCAACCAGATTATTTATAATCAAAATTCTACCTTTATAGGAAATTTTAGGGAGTAAAAACCTCCACTTATCCAGTCGCCCTTTGACCTTTTCAATAGTACCTTAAAATTCTTGGTCCCACTTTATATTAAGTGGCTTTAAATACTATGTACTTACATTGAAGTTACTACTTTGATACATTGGACTCATTGTGTACATACATGTTTTTACATTGTACTTATATTTTGAAAATACCTGCATGTAATTACAACTGTAATTAATTGATGTAATTACATTTGTAATTACACAGTTGACCCTTCCCTTACACATTAACTCACCCTGATACCTACCCATACCACCACACCTGTCCCTTACCTTACCCATATCACACCTCAATAGCAGCAAAAGTGTTTTACTATACAACCTGAACACAATAAGTACATTGTACTTATTTTACTATGTAAGTACATAGTACTTAAAGCCACTTAATATAAAGTGGGACCAAATTCTTTTTTACAACATTTTCATTTCCTACAAAGACTCCTAAATATTTAAAACCATCTCTTGTCCAGTTTAGTCCATCAGGAACTCTTGGTTCACCTTTTGGCCATTTCCCAACTAATATGGCTTCACTTTTTTTCCAGTTAACTTTTGCTGAAGAAAGAGTTTTAAAATCTTCTAAAATCTTCAACATCACATTGACATCATTGGGTTCACTGATTATGACAATGACATCATCAGCGTATGCTGATAACTTAAAAACAGTATCACAATTTGGCATACACAGTCCACGCACATCAGATCTTAGTTTATTTAACAGGGGTTCTATGGCTAAGGTGTATAACATGCCTGACAGTGCACAGCCTTGTGTGACACCCCTATACACACTAAACGGAGAGCATAAGTCACCATTAATCTTTAATATACTCTCAACGCCACAATACATCATTTTAATCATTTCAATAAACTCTGAACTAAAACCAAATGCTTTTAAAACACTCCATAAATAAATATGCTCGACTCTGTCAAAAGCCTTCTCTTGATCGATTGATATCATACCAAAGTCTATGTCAAAGATTTTTCCACAGTCAAAGATATCTCTGATAAAAGAAACATTATCAAAGATTCTCCTTCCTGGAACGCAATATGACTGATCTGGATGAACAATCGATTCAATGACTACCCCCAATCTGATCGCCAAAGCTTTCGACAATATTTTGTAGTCGTTACACAATAAACTTACTGGTCTCCAATTTTTGATGTCATTTAAATCTCCTTTTTTAGGCAATAAAGTAATAATTGCTCTACGGCAGCTTCTAGGCAGTTGTCCATCTGCCAGACTCTCATTAAAAACTGTTACTAAATCTGGGCCAATTTCTACCGAAAAAGTTTTATAAAATTCAGTTGTAATGCCATCAATACCTGGTGCTTTTCCATTTTCCATTTTTTAAGGGCATTTTCTAGCTCAACTAGACTCAAAGTTTTACTAATTTCTTCATTTGCATTTTTAGTTATCTGAGGTAAATTTTCAAAAAAAAATTAATTAAATTATTAAAAAATAATTATTTTGTACAGTTCTTTATAAAAATGTACAGCTCTCTTCCTAATGTCCGAGGGATTTTGTCAACAACACCCCTTCTTCAGACTGCAAGGCGTGAATAAACTTTTTCTGTCCGTTCTTTTTTTCTAAACTGAAAAAAGAATTTTGAAGGAGCATCCATTAATTCTGCACTTTGAAAACGGGATCTAATGATAGCACCTTGTGTTGCACAACCTAGCATGTCAGATAACAAATTATTTTTCTTTTTTATGTGCTCTATATAAGTCGCATCTTTTGTGGACTCTGCAAGTTCTTGTAGCTTCATCAACTCTTCTTCTAACGTACTCATTGAGCTATGTTTGTCTCTTGTGGCGTTGTGAGTATATTCTTGACACAATTGCTTGATTTGTATTTTTACAAAATCCCACCACTGCTTCAATGTTACGAAGGATGATTTCATAGCCTTAGCATTTGTCCAGAACTCTTTAAAACCTTCTCTAAAACAAGTGTCAGATAATAAATTATTGTTAAAATGCCAATAAGCACTTTTTGATTTGACATAACTCTTTGCTACAACACATTTTATCAGGCTGTGATCAGAAAAACAAACCGGGCTTATTGAACATTCTCTAAACATGCCTAATTGATGCTTAAATCCATAAAATCTATCAAGCCTTGCCAGCGATAACTGATTTTCATGAGCGTGAACCCAAGTATACTGTCTCTGTATACCATGGAAATTCCTCCATATATCAATTATGCTATGCGACTTTCTCATTTGAATTAACCTCTTTCTGGATTGCATGTGTGGTTCAACATGGTTTCGATCTATGACATTTTCAGTACAATTAAAATCCCCTCCTAACAGTAAAAAATCATCATTATTACACTCATTTAAAACATCATCCAAAGTGTTCAAAAATATCATTCTTTCTAATGCTTTAGTTGGAGCGTATACACAGACAAAAACAAAAGAACTATTTTCAAACACAGCTTTAATCTTCAGCAACCTTCCTTTAATTTTTTCCTCTACACTATATGAGTATGGAGTAAAGTCTTTTGAAAATAACACTGCAACTCCACCACTTAATGAGGTATGATGGCTTGAAATCACTAATCCATCAAATTCTTTTACCCATTCTACGGCATTTGATACATCAGTATGTGTCTCTTGTACAAACAACACATCAACTTTCTTATATTTCATTAATTCAAATACTTGAGCTCTCTTCTTAAACTCCCTTGCTCCGTTAACATTCAAGGAAGCAAAGTTTATTTCCCCCATAAAGGATAAAGAAAGAGAGCAAAAGAAATAAAACCATAAAAGATGCATCAATTTACCCATAGCTGTTTTCACTGGGCCCGCCTGACTGACTTAATTTCGTAATAATTTTCTTAA